ATATTTTTAAAATATTAAAAGAAAAAAAAATTATAACCATAGTTGCATGCTAACACTGTGAAATTAAACCTAAAAAGACTACCATCAAGTTGCTAGCTCATTTGGGATTGGATGAACCCATTAGCACTACATCCGATCTTGTTGTGTTTGATGTGTTCCACGGAGTATGCCAAAAACAACAGTGATATGGAATCAGGACATCATTAATTGGTAGCATGTTTGGTTCGGTTTCTAAATGTGTTACTTTTTTTTTTATATATTATTCATATTTCATAATTTTAAATTTTTTTAAAAAAATTTATATTTTTTATTTTTTTTATTTGAAACGTTTCAAATTTTTATTTTTTGAAAACTTCTTTTTTACTTATTTTTTACATTTTTTAAAAATAAATTTAAAATTTTTCTTTTAATAAAAATTTAAACTTATGAAATATGAATAATATCCGAAAAAATCCAAACACTTACGAGTTTTACAAATATACTCAAGATGTGATCACTGGCTGGCGGTATAAAAAATTGGGAAAACCCCCAAAATCAGGTGTCAAACTTTTAGCGCTTTAACCATCAAGCCCATAAAGATTTTTCAAGTCAATTATTGCCCCACACCTTTTTTTTTTTAATTTGTAGCCAGCAAAAATAAGTAATTATGCACATGCCCCTATACTTTTCAAATCCTGCTTTACTTTACGGTTCACATGCAAAGGTGGGTACTTGGTGGGGAAAGGAAGATGGGGATGCTTCTCTGGACATATTAGACAAAAAGAAAAAAATGATAGCAGGGATAACGTGGTACATATAACACCTGGTTTTTGGCCATCACCTTCTTTCCACTTCCAATGGTGGAGGCCAAATTTTTCTCTAACCTTTTTTCTCTTTCAATTCATGGTATCCGCGTGGACCCTTAAAACATTTTCTTAATTTTTTTTTTTTTTCCTTTGCCTAATCCCCACTAACACCAGCAATTTTTTGGTTGTCAAACTGCAGATATTGTTTAAAAGATTTTTCCAATGCCTCTTAACCCCTTTTTTCAAAGAAAGTAGTTAGAGTGGTTAGGGATTTCATGTGAAAGGTATGATTATCATCATCAATATATTTATAAATGATAGAGTTATTATTTTATTTTAAAAAATGCTTATTAATCTCGATTTTTGTTTTAAAAAAAAATAGAATTTTAATTGTTAAAATATCAATTTTTAATGAATACTTTAAAAATTAATTATTAAATTTAATATTTTATTAATATAAATTACATATATTAATTTTTAAAGTGATTTAATATTTATAAATATTTGATGAAGTAATTTATATTTTTTAATATATATTTAATGATAATAATTTTTTTATAATTAATTAACTAATTAATTATATATATTTAATTAATTTAAAAATTAATGTACATAATTTATATAAATAAAATAATATTTTTACAATTAATTTTTAAAAATATTTATTAAAAAGTGAAAAATTTAAAGTTAACTCAAACAGATACTAAAAAAAATTGCTTTGAATGCAAAACGACAATGAACTTGACTGGGAAAGTTGATGGAAGTTTCTTAGTGATTGCATGAAGGACATGGAATTGACTCTCGACTTCTGCAAAATAATGATGGTAAAGGATCAGTTCAAAACAAAGAAAAAAGTGATGATGGTAACGGAAAGGATAACAGACACTCAATTCTTATCTCCAACAATTTAACTTCAAATTTTAGAATGAAAGAGATAAGATTCTCTTTTATTTTGATGAAAAAGACATTGACAAAAATAAAATTTTTTATATAATTAAAAATTTGAGATTTTAAATTAAATATTTTAAATTTGAACCTTAAAATGAATGGTAAAAAATTTTAAAAATTAAAAAATTATCTCATTTTATACCATTCATCATTAATTATATAAAAAATAAAAAATTGGACAAAAACAGAAGATGTTAGATATTCCCTAATATTATTGAGAAGGATATCATAAATTTTATTATTATTTTTTTATTGCACTAATATGATAACCAATGTTAGGATGTACGTTATATTGTTGTTGTTTTTGTAACGTTGATAATTGATAATCGTTGCTTTGACACGGCACAAGCCATACAAATAACTCATTGATTCAACCATCGGTACACCAAATCACATTTCCACCTAGTCTTTTCTTCCCCACGTCCTGCCAGATGATCCAGATATTCTCCGAAGACTTTATCAAAATAACTATTTTCCTTAAAAAAGACGTCAAAGACTCTTTTAACCATTTCATTTTCATAAATAAACAATATCATATTACCACAAAATTTAAAAAAGAAAGAAAAAAAGAAAAAAAGAAAAAAAGAAAAAAAAAAGAGAGGTATAAACAAGACAATTACAAACCAAAGGACCCCACGAACATGAAATGGACAAGCAAGATTTTATGTCCAAAGCAATGGCTATTAATGAAGTAAGTAAATGAAAAGGACAACAACGGACACGGAGAGGGCATTTGAAAACATTATTTTCAACACCTTCAATCTTCATGTAAGATATGATACATATTACAACTTAGTTGTTCAGAACATATTACATATCCCAAAAAATATATATTAATGCTAGTAAAATGAACTAAGCCAGAAAATGCCAAATCGATTTATGATAGGACCAGTTTTTGACAGTGGCTCATTGGCTCACCAGATTCTGGCAGTGGCCGTGGCAATGGCGTTGACTTGATATTCAACGCCCTTTAGGGTTCATGATCTGTGAGAACACAGCACTTGGAGTCAAGCCATCGGAGTCTTCACTGGCCAGGCTCCGGCCACCTATGCTCATGCTTATCCCGCTGCTCCTGGAGTCTGTCACATTACCATCAAAACCAGGGGATGAATTGGGCTCCTTCTTGCCTTGACAGGCTATGTCGAATGTATCTTCCTCAATGTCCATTCCACCAATGTCGTTTCCACTCTCTTCTGCGCTTTCTTGCAGCTGCAGTGCGAATTCCAAGTTCCACAGTACATCACCCATTGATGGCCTGTCAATACCCTGATCAGAGACACACTTCATTGCTGTCTCAGCAAACTTCTTGAAGCATTCTGGGGCTATCTTTGCCTTCAGAAAAGGGTCGACAATCTGATCGAGGATGCCTTTCCGGTGGCAGTGTGCAGCCCACTCTGCCAGGCTTACCTGTTCCTTTGGTAATGTGGCGTTCAAGGCTGGCCTAGCGCAAAGGATCTCAAACAGCACAACCCCAAAAGAGTAAACATCAGATTTATCGGTTAGCTGCTGCCTTCTGAAATACTCTGGATCCAAATAGCCAAAGCTACCCTTCACAACAGTGCTCACATGAGTGTGATCCAATGTAGGACCAGTTTTTGACAACCCAAAGTCAGAAACCTTTGCAACCCACTTCTCATCCAGAAGAATATTAGTTGTCTTGACATCACGGTGGATAATAGTGTGCTTTGCACCAGTGTGGAGATAGTGTAAACCACGAGCAGCTCCAATGCAGATCTCAAGCCTTTGCTTCCATGGCAGAGGAGGCTTTTGGGTTTTGTACAGATGTTCCCTCAATGTTCCATGAGCCATGTAATCATAAACAAGAATCATTTCAGTGTTCTCTTCACAGTAACCAATTAACGAAACAAGGTGGCGATGTCGGAGTTTTGAGAGCATTTCAATCTCAGTTTGGAATTCATGCACACCTTGTTCAGATAGAGGGTTCCCACGCTTGATTGCAACTTTAGTCGTTCCACCGTCAATTTCTCCCTTGTAAACTTTGCCAAAACCACCAACACCAAGAAGTAAAGCTTCATCAAAGTTGTTTGTAGCAGCCTTGATCTCAGCAAATGAGAAGTGACGGCAAAGGTTTGAAGGAAGAGATGAAGCATAGCTTCCTGTAGTGTTTGTCTTTGCTGAACCTGCAGAATGTGAATTTCCATATAAAGAAAGCGGAAGCCACCCTGATGGACCATCACTTGCACTTGGGACCTTTCCATGCTTGCGGCGATGGGAAGCAGCAAAAACACAGAAACCTACAAGAAGGGCTAGAGCAACTCCACCACTAACGCCACCTGCAATAATTGCTTTCTGGTTTGAGTGACCAGAAGGTGGCGGCAAAGCCAACGAGGGGTTAACTTTATTTTGAGGAGCAGGGATTGGATTGAGCCCTGCAAGGTTGTCACTTTGATCACTTATCTTGAATATCTCCAAGCCATTTAAGATTGCATCATAAATTTGGGGCTTTGCAGCTGTGTCTGGATGCAATTCAAGCCATAGATCCTGTTGGGGGCCTGCACCTGAAACAAGCACCACATAATCCCTGTACACAGGAACTCCAATTTTTCCATTCCCCCCGGCCCAGGCAATCACATCAGCTCCCTCCACTGCAGTTTGATTGTTGAGGTAGATGTTGAACACTCTCTGATTGATTAAAGTTATAATCTCGGTGAACTCACAGAAATGTAGCCTAACCAAGTATTTGAATCCCGAATCGACACTGAAAATCCAGGTCAAATTGTATTGTACATTAACTGAAGCATTCGGCCCCATGGATCTAGCATTGGAATACACAGCTTGGGGGGCAGTGTAAGTAGGAATTTTATAATTAAATGTCATGTTTTGATCAGCAGACCCTGTAACTCCAATCGCTGCAGAAAAAAGGTAAAGCTGGTCATCTGCCCATGTCCTGAAGAGACCTGTATCCTGAGAAGGAGAGAGACTATTTCCACCCACATTCAATCGATAAAGGTTCTCGAGTGCAGTGGTGTTATCAATGTTGAATGGAGCATTTGTACCCACAATAAACAAACTCTCATCGCTACTACTATACATATCAGGCATAGACAAAACTTCAATCCCGTTCACAAAGGCATAAGCATTTGAAGGCGTAGAAGATGGACTGAATGTTATGCTCAAAGTCTCCCCAATAACATTGACCGAGTACTCCTTAATGAGATATGCATAATTCAGAGCCTGGGATGTTTGAGCAGCACTAAAATTCCGAAGAAGCGTAAATGATCCCGAAGTGACAGAGAACAAAGCATTGGTAGCATTAAGCCCATCATAGGAATTAGAGTAAAAATACAACCGAATAAACTTTCGACCAGATGCCACCGGGAATTTGTAAGTGAAATTGGACCTGAAAATCCGGGCAGTCATGTAAGGGACTAAAGGAACTGCAGGGTCCTGTGTGGCAGCTTTGGAGGCCACGGAGTTCCCGGCCCCCAAAAACTTGGACCCTACATCCGGCGTCCATGTCCGCTTATCATCATCGGTGGTTACAGAAGTCTCCCCACAATTCAATAGGAAGTTCTCAGCGGGATCATAATTAGCAGCTATAATAACATGAACTACAGAGGCCAAGGAAACAAGAAAGAAAATGGAAACAAGATAACACGTATCAATCGAGTTCCTCATAGACTCAAAACCGAAAATTTCCCCAACTTCGCTATGATATCAAACAGAAGAAACCAGTTCAGAGTTGGTGGGAAAAAAAAAAAAAAAAAAAAAACCAAGATCCAAGACAAGAGCTACCAACCCCAGCTGAAACCCAGGAAAGATTTGCACCAGAACCAGATCCAGAGGAAGGAAGATGATGCCGAGAACGCAAGAATGAAAAAGGAAGCAATTGCTTAAAACATGGATGGAGTACAAAAGGGATCTATCAAAATGAAGAGACTTTCACACCATTTGAAGTTAAGGAAGGAGATTTACCTCAAACCCCGAAGAGAAGAGAAGAGATAACCCACTGAATCAAACCGGAGAGATTTGGTTGTTTGCTGGTATTCCGACGAGAGAGGAGAGAGAGAATTTAGACAGAAAAAATGAGGATGCATAAAACAAACAGCCAGTGTGTCTGAATTTTTAAAAGCGGCCCTCAGTGACATGTTGTTTAAGCAGTTTACTCCCCTCAAAATGGTCAAAATGCTGCTATTTTACATGTAATTTTATGGATTTATAATTTTTTTT